AAGTATGAAACAGCTGTACAGTATACTTCCTGGGTCCATGATAAATAGGTCATTTTAAGCTTTCCAGTTGGAAACCCCCGAAGGGAATTATTGAATGGTTAGAGATACTGTGTGATATACTTAAATGTCACAAATGGGTAACAAGCAATAAGCCAAACCAGCGCACCGAAGTGGCGACAAAAACTGAAAGGCTTTTCAGTAATGTTATAAATGCAGAAGGTGGTTCTCGGTCGAGGGAAGTTGTTTATCGTAGATTACACTTAGGATATCACTGATTTATCATACATATAACAGATATCTGATTTGAAACATATCATCGCCGTTCCCGGCAGCACACCTGGTAATGAATAGTCGATAGTTATTCTTTGAGACACAGCAATTTGCCCTCGGTAGTCTTGGTAATTTTTGATCGTTGAAGGAAACCACCAACCACACTATTTTGCATACTATTCACAAATATGCGTAATGCCTCAAAACAGTAGTATATGAGGTGGACTGCCTTACACCGGGCCGGTGACCACTGCCACAACTAGGAAGTTGTGTGCGGTTCGTACGCCTCCTCATAGTTGGTTTGGAATCAGGGTTTTTGGCCAACTCCCTTGGGTGAACTACCAGTAGTCCACCATCCATCCTATTGTGGATAAGGAAACCTTGTAGGCACACAAAGGAGGCCCAATTACGTAAATCGTAGAACCTGCTAGAGTGAGTGAATGTGGTGTGGGCACACCACAAATCCGCAACACCCGGTACACGGCTATTCAGATTAGTGAACATTACGTCTGGTTACCTTGACGGAAATTTGCTTTTGACCTCCACTGAATCTCCCAGAAAAGGGAAGAAAACTGGGGAGGGGGATAAAACACACTCACCGTCGTTTGTACTTAATCACTACATCCATGCCAAAGTGATATCCAGTCCAACGCCAGCTGTACGTACTATCCCCACTTGGCATATGACGTCCACATCGCTCGGATGTGGCCCAGAACACTTCATCTGACAAATCCGCGGGAGGCCCGGGTTCTGAGGATGCAGCAGCACCATTCGCGGGATTGGTTTCGCCGGACCCACTGATTTCCGACTCTCGCGCACTGAGCGTCGCTCGTAGCCGTGACGGGCTGCTGCTACGACTTCCTCTGCCACTTGGACCGTAATTACCTCCGACACTGCTAGAACGACCGCCACTGCTTGAATCGTAACGTGAGGCGGTCACTTGAAGATCGTGTGTTTGTAGCACACGAAGCCACTGACGTGAGAAAACACTGGACAACCAGTCTGTGCACAGAGGGAGGTTGGACAGTGTTGAAATTTGAATTCAATGCACCATTTGTTTCACGAGCACACACGAACACACACACGGAAAGAAACAGCGTATAGTAGTTCTACAATCAGACGGGTCGACCAAGTCCACTATTTTACAGCACGGCACCACCTTGTCAGTTACGCTCCAGAATAATTCTGTCGATTTTCTGGATCCACTTCGACTTAAAATTTAAAAAATCCTCAAACTTCAGCTACAATCAAGAATCGACTAACAGTAGTACACACTGAGTCAAATTAAAAGATTCAACGTGCGCGGATCTCTATCCCCCAACCCCAAACCGTCCTTCTCTTTGTCGAGCACAAGTGTACACCCACAGAGAGAATACATCAAGAACAAATCAAGTGACACATGGCATATGTCAATCGACATCGGATAGGATGATGACGGTAGGAGATAAACAAGCATCATATTGTAGGGTCCAAGAAGATTTTGTGTTTACATAAGAAATTTCTGAACCTATAAACAGAACCGTGGCTACCGACAACGGTAAAATGGACAAAATTTTATCGTTCATACACACACTTCGTGTGACCGTCCAGCCGGATTCACCGGACAGATGACTAAATCCAAGGACTTCACAAAGGACGCTGACTGACTCATATAAAATTTAGGACACAAGATACGCCCAGACAGACTATGGTGTGTGTGCCACGGGTTGCATCCCAGTACAGCAAATGTTCAGCCAAAATACCATCGCGGGTCTGTTAGGACACACTAAAGCATGCAAGCACAGGGGAAAACCCAATGGACACAAAACCACATGGTGCGTACGAAACAGATTGGACAGGACAAACTGTGTGTAAGAGCAAACAAAGAAAGAACAAGTGCGGTCGCATGGGATAAACATTTTCCATAGCGCAAAAGTGCAAAGAGCATCTCGTGTCGGCAACTACATTTCCGCAATACAGATGATTAATCGGATAAGACTAATCCCGGTAGTATTTGAAATTTCACTGGGGCAAGTGGTTATGGTCATCAAATTGACGACCCAGAGGTCCTGAGTTCAAACCCCATCACCGCGCTCCATCTTCCGAAGTTTGTATTCGCCCAGACAGCCTTTGTAATGACAGCGGCTCTTTCCTCAAAGTTAACCGTACATTTGTATACGAAATAAACAAAAAAAGAAGTAAAAAACATTAATAAAAAACGATTTAATTAACTTCGTTGTGACTGACTGTTCCTTTTCCTGAAGAATCACCGTTTCACGCTCAGCCCCTAATTGGTAAGGGAGGGTGTGTACACGACTGGAATGTGATGATAGAGTGAATTATTGTTAAAGNAAATGAGAATCGCGATCAGCAGAACAAATAGGAGCAAACAAATCAACCATCTAATTGAATGTTGTGCGATTGATCGACTCAGTCGTCGTCCAATCAGATTACGCCTAGCTGATCACGTGAGAAATATGCTGATGGTTTGTTGCGGTACATTTGAGAAATGAACTCCTGATACCAGTCGTGATCACCTGTAAACAAACGAAAAGTATTTCCTTACTGCCTAACTTGATGATGGAACAAACGGGTTCTGTTGCGGAATCTAAGAGCGGTTTGTGAAGTTAGTGCGGCTGGCTAATGCAATGCTTGAAACAGCTTTGTGACTCCGGTAGCAAGTTTGAATTAATCCCGTGAGTACATGTTTCAAGACTTTTTAAAAGTATGGCCGTATGGCCGTACAACTGAACTTTGTACCGTATGTAAGGAAGGGACTCCATGAAGACCGCACGTGTATAGGCATGTATACGGGAGATGCTCCCGACTGAATGTAAGTGCATGCAAACGCCCCGGGTAGTGATCTGGTGGATTGTGCGACAGAACAATGCAAAGTGTGAAATCGAATCGGCTGGACAACGGACGGTCAGTTTGTTTGGCTGACTAAAAGAGTAGACAGTGGAATTGAACTCATGGGGTAAAATGTTGTCACACGTGTGATTCTAATTGAAAATCTGTGACACAGCCACAGGTGTATCCGCAAAGCAAACATTCTTGTCGAACGTGATCTTTCTCTGTGTGTGTTTATTAACGTCACTCAGAAGTTCCTTCCAAACCTCCGACCCAATCAGATCGCATCAGAGGACGATTAACCCCGTTCTGTGGCGTCGCATGACTCACATAACATCCCAGCGTGTGAGAACCGGACTGAGTATTGGAATGAGAGGCGCTTGAACAGGTGAGTTTGCATAGAGCTCCAAGCTCATGCACAAACAAATGCACACGAGCACACACACACACACACACATCATCATCATCATCATCAACGATGGCAAACTACAAAGCAACGAGAAACTCGATAGCGACCTCAGTGGCATCCTGGTGCATAGCTGCATACATGCATGTGCATGCCAGCTTGATCAACATGGCCTCAAACAATGCTCGATGGTCAACTATAATCGATCCAGAACAAGCCACCAGATACGAATACCCGAATAAAACGATAGGATGATATAGGAAGTGTCAATGTGAAACTGTTAGTTGAGCTGTAGATTAAAAAATAGAACCTAGAATGGAAAAAGTAAGGTTATAATACATCCGTATGGGAGATAGTCTGATACGGTCTGAGGCTTGTGGAATGAGGTTTTTTACAGGTCCGTGATGACGTAATAAAATGAGTGTGAAATAGTGAGTAAACTGCGCAGAGTTTGAATACTTAACTGGTACAGGATGGTGAAGAGATGAGAACGAATAAACGTTACTAGCGAATTACAGCATTTTCGAGGCCAGTGAAATACCTAACACACTAACTGAGTTACCGACCTGCAATGGGCAAGTTGCAAACAATGTGCAATGAAGAAGAACCGATGAAAAACACAGCAAGGACAGCGTTTTATTATTCTGCCAGTGTTGCGGACTGCTGCGTTACTCTTTCACTCAAGCTAGAGTAAGACACGTTAACTTCCAGTACTCCGTCAAGCAGATGACAGCCCTCGAGGAGATTAGCTTTGTGCCCTCCTACATCAGTGAAACTGCTGCCACTAGAAGAAAGGAATGAGTAGAACGAAAAAGCCTTCACTTTATGCTTGCATATCCATACCGAACATCATCATACCGAACAACCAACAATTGCGCTCAAAAAATAGCCTCTAAACGAGTGTGATATCCAGTTGCCTAATCGAAACCGGATTCCAATTGGCACTGTTCATGACGATTCCTGAAATGTTAAATGAATCAAGCAATCTCAAAACCCTTTCAGAGTTAAACGATACCGTATGCTGAATTCGGATTTGATAAACAAACCAAATCTCTCGAACCATTTCAAACGAATAACAAACTATTCGTCGGACAGTCTTTCTACAAGTCAGATCCGGATTGCGATAGAAGCATAATGTTAACCTATTAGCAAAGCTAGGCAGTTTGTCTTAACACTGGTCAAGTGTCCCAGATTAAGCATTTTGTTTTCATTTTATTTCCACCTCCAGTTCAGTTCGGTCTGAAAACCATCATTCATCTACTATCGTGCACCGGATTTGATTGCTGTCTTTTGGCTACCTATTTGGATGAACATAAGGAGAAAGACAGGAAAGGTTCAAAGTGGAATCGAAGATTAAATTAAAT